GTTCCACAAATTAGTTATTTAATACAGGTAGCCCTCAACTTAAGACCACAACTGAGCCCAAAATTTCTAAGCAAGATACTTGTTAAGTGAGTTGCATCCCATTTTATGACATGTTTTGCCATAGTTGTTAAGTGAATCATTAGGTTGTTAAGCGAATCTGGCTTCTAGCATTGACTTTGTTTGTCTGAAGCCAGCTGGGAAGGTTACAAATGGGGAACACGTGATCCTAGGACACTACAACTGTCTTAAATACACATGTTACCAAGTGCCCAAATTTTGATCATATGACCATGAGAATGCTGCAACAGTCATAAGTGTAAAAAACTGTCATAAATCACTTTTTCAGAGCTGTTGTAACTTTGAACAATCACTAAACAATGGTTGTAAACTGACTACCTATACTCATTTGTTACCAAACACAATTTTATTCTCTAAAATGTCTTTTGATTGTAAAAATAAACCAGTAAATATTATCAGATAAAAAATCAGACTAACCAGATACAGTTGAAATGAATGAAAAGGAATGCACTGCATTTAAATAGTTTTATTAACATCAGTGTGCAAAATACATAAACATATACACACACCATGTTAGCTTCCTATAGATTAGAAAACAGAGCAAGATGAATGATCTTTAGTAAGATCTATACTATCTATACCGGAGTCTCATTATTTTCTGAAGTCAACTGTTTCTATTTTGTTTTTAAAATATAATTGCTACTTATATAGATGAATACAAAATAATTATTAGAAATAGAATGGGTTCAAGTGCCACATGATTAAAAAGTTTATGTAAACAGTATGTAGTCTCTTGAATTTTTTGAATTGCAGATTTGAAAAGGTAGTTAAACATTCTTCTCCCTAGGATAGGGGTCTTCAAACTTGGCCCTTTTATGACTTGTGGACTTCAACTCTCAGAATTCCTCAGCCAGGCACGCTGGCTGAGGAATTCTTAGAGTTGAAGTCCACAAGTCATAAAAGGGCCAAGTTTGAAGACCTCTGCCCTAGGATATGCTCATGCTGAACTAAATAAGGATACACTTCTAATAGGAAAAACCTTCTATGCAAAGTTTCTCCCATGGCAATGATTCTGAATGGATTAATTCAAGGTTTGATTGATTTCATCTGAATAATTGGACTTGTACCCACCACAATCAAACACTTCTTTTAGGATATAAAATATAACTACAATTTAAAAAGTCTGTGGTAAAACTCTAATCCATACAATATGAACCCCAATGAAAAGATGGAACAAACAAAAGATAAATCATACAGTAATAAACATTGGAAATGCTATGACAAAGAAGGAAAAGTTTAACACACATGGTAAAGATATAAAAAGCTCCATAGTACTTGAAAAGATATACATATTATTCAGAAAGTGTGAAAATTACTATAATTCCAGAATATATTAACAAAAAGCAGCATCGTTTACTCATACATGCTCGCTGTACTGAGAATACATTTAGCCAATCTTGGATAAAAGACACAAGTCTGACAATATCCAACAAGGAGCTTAAACCTGGAAAATATGCAGCAATGGCAAAATAATAATAATAATAATAGTAAAGTTGGAAGGGACCTTGAAGGTCATCTAGTCCAACCCTTGAAGGTCATCTAGTCCAATAGCATATACTCACAATAAAAATTTAATCAAATTCAAGCAAGAATGATTCCCATGTATACAATTTATTATGATGCAAGGAAAATATAAACTGTTCTAATATATTCTGTTTAAACAAGAAACTCTGATCTTTGGACTGGATGACAAACTTATCTTGGCTGTTTGAATTTTGGATTGGATTTTGACCTTTTGATTGAACCAGCTGACTCTATGGCTACTTGCAGGATCCCACAGTCACATAGTTGCGTTTTATGATGGTTTTGCTGAAAAGTGGCAAAACCACGCTGCTACTGAACCACTGATTTGCTTAATGCCCATGGCATTTGCTTAACAATCATGGGTTTGCTTAACAACCATAGTGATTCACTTAATGACTACTGAAAAAATGGTTGAAAAATCAGATTGGTCACATGAAATTATTTAAAAATAATATTTAAACACTAAAGGTCTACAACTGAGAATATTTTAACTGGTTTTTAATGTTTATATATCCTACCACAATTGTAGTATAAATGTTTCTATCATATAGAATGCTTTCAGAGGTATTCTAGATTTTTCTTCTTTCTAACCTTTGATGGAGTGATTAAATAGCTCACTTCCTTTTCCTAAAGCAACTATAATATGTTCGAAAAAATGAAATATTTTTTCACCATTTATATTTCTGATAGGAAAGTAGCTGTGACAGTCATGTGAAAAAGAAAGTATACCCTCTTTGAGTCCTATGATTTTATGTATCAGGGCATAGTAAAAATTATCTGATCCTTAGCAGTTCTTAAAAGTAGGAAAATACAACCTCAGATTAACAACGCATATGACATATCATCATTTATTTTACAAAAAGGCCAAAATGGAGAAGCCCTGTGTGAAAAACTAAGTATACCCTTACAGCTTCCATAGGTTTGAAGAGGCTAAGTAGCAGCCAGATGCTGCTAATCAGATGCTCTTGATCAAAGATAATCAAACAACGAATCAGCGAACACCTAGAGGCAAAGTCATTACTAAAAGCCAACATGGGTTTGTCAAAAACAGATCATGTCAGACAAATCTTATTGCATTCTTTGACCAAGTGACAAAATTAGTGGATCAGAGGAATGCTGTGGATATAATTTACTTGGACTTCAGCAAGGCATTTGATAAAGTAGATCACAACCTACTACTCGACAAGATAGAAAAATGTGGGGTAGACAACATCACCACCAGATGGATCCGTAGCTGGCTGACCGGCCGTACTCAGCATGTGGTCCTCAATGGAACCACATCTACATGGAGGGAAGTGTGTAGTGGGGTGCCCCAGGGCTCTGTTTTGGGCCCAGTGCTCTTCAACATCTTCATCAATGATTTGGACGAGGGGATAGATGGGGAACTCATCAAATTTGCAGACGACACCAAGCTGGCAGGAATAGCCAACACTCCAGAAAACAGGCTTAAGATACAAAAGGATCTGGACAGACTTGAACACTGGGCACTATGTAACAAAATGAAATTCAATGGTGAAAAAAGCAAGGTTCTATATTTAGGCAAGAAAAACCAAATGTACAGGTATAGTATAGGGGGTACCTTGCTCAATAGTAGTAACTGTGAGAAGGACCTTGGAGTTCTAGTGGACAATCGCTTAAATATGAGCCAGCAGTGTGCTGCAGCTGCCAAAAAAGCCAACACAGTGCTAGGCTGCATTAACAGAGGGATAGAATCAAGATCATGTGAAGTGTTAATACCAATGCCTTGGTAAGGCCACACTTGGAATACTGCATCCAGTTTTGGTCACTGCGATGTAAAAAAGATGTTGAAACTCTAGAAAGAGTACAGAGAAGAGCAACAAAGATGATTAGAGGACTGGAGGCTAAAGCATATAAGGAACGGCTGCTGGAATTGGGTATGTCTAGTTTAATGAAGAGAAGGACGGGGGGGGGGGGGACATGATAGCAGTGCCATAAAGAAGAGGGAGTCAAGCTATTTTTCAAAGCGCCTGAAGGCAGGACACGAAGCAACAGATGGAAACTAATCAAGGAGAGAAGCAACCTAGAACTAAGGAAAAACTTCCTGACAGTTAGAACAATTAACCAGTGGAATAACTTGCCTCCAGAAGCGGTGAATGCTCCAACACTGGAAGTTTTTAAGAAGAGACTGGACAGCCATTTGTCCGAAATGATATAGGGTTTCCTGCCTGAGCAGGGGGTTGGACTAGATGACCTCCAAGGTCCCTTCCAACTTTATTATTATTATTAACTGATCAACAGCAAGTGTGACTACTCTCTATAAAAGCTGACATTTTAGGTGTTTCCTGATCTCCAACATTGAGGTGTGTATTAACACAATGCCAAAGAGGAAAGATATCAGCAATGATCTTAGACAGTGGTGGGATTCAGCCAGTTCACACCACTTCGGCAGAACCGGTAGCTATTTTTTTGTTGCCCAGGCCCTGAATGGACTTCCGGAAGTGACATCCACAGAGAACTGGTTGTTCACATATTTGCATCCCACCACTGATCTTAGAAAAGCATTTGTTGCTGCCCATCAATCTGGAAAAGATTTTAAGACCATTTCCAAACAATTTAAAGTCCATCATTCTACAATGAAGATTATTCACAAATCCTCCACTGGATCAGGCCCCTGCGACCCCTGGTCCAGTCCCCTTCCACTGATAGCATGATGTAATATGTTATGTGTTGTTCATCAGAGGTTGTATTTACTTTTAAAAACTACTAAGGATCAGATGATTTTTACTGTGTCCTAATAGGTAAAACCACAGAACTCAAAGAGAATGTACTTTCTTTTTCACATGACTATATATTAAGAAATTGATATTATTTATAAAGCAAAATTTTAAACTCTGCAGGAAAGTACTGATCAACATTATATGTCAGAATAGCCAAAACTACAATAAATGTTATTATTTGAATATCAAAAGCTATTAGCACTAACTGGAATACATACCATTTATGGAATCAGTTTGACAACAGCGTTTATAATTTTATATCATTATTGTTATGTCTTATTGTGCTACAAGCAGACTAATTTTACTAATTCATGCAATTATTTCTAACCTAATCACAAATCCTATAAAGGGATAGCACAAGTGGCTGATCTGATCAAAAGCAGTTCCAATGTTCTATCATCCCAAAGTATAGGCTTATGTTGTTTTATATGTTGATTCATAATCCAGCCAAGCAATAAACTCACAAATCACAATTAAACAAGGTGTAACAGGAGGTCAGAAGAAGATTCGACAACATAATAATTCACCTAAATGACATGCTCTAACCTGCATTTATAGGTCCAATTTTTAATACATTTTATATATCAATGTCTTCAACACTGCATAATATCATGTAAGAGTGACTGCTGCCTGATAAGCCTTTATCTTTGTGATTTAAGCCTTCCAGAGCAAATTTATGTTAGATCACACATATTGTGAAAATCTTGGTTCTACTCATTTAATTTGATGATCAGATGAAGTATCATGAATGTTTACACTAAGACAAATATTTCTCTTCCCTCAAGAATCCTCAGTTCCAAAAGGCAAAGAAGACAGGAGCATTTACAGGTGACAACCAGAAATATTCCACCAAACTATACTGCATGTAGCCCATGATTAGCCCAAAGACCACATCTGTTACATTATGTCTGCCAAGCATGATCCTAGAGATTCCCACTATGAAGGTCCAAAGTACAACCAGCACTCTTAGAGGGATTGCAAGTACAAGATGATGTAGTATAAATCTGCACACCATGGCGGCTCTGGTAGCATGGCCTGAAGGAAAGGAATATTTGTCCACAGAGACAGTGGCAAACATGTCCATCTTGTTGTAGACTGGGCGCCTTCGTTTCACCAGTCCTTTTACTGCTGCCACCAAAACTAGATCAAGAATCAGAGCTGTGAGATAAGGCAGAGAAACAACTTTCAGATATTTTAAAGAACAACACTATAAATTACAAAGCTTCAAACCCAACAAATACAGTATTGCTTGTAAATTCACTTTTCAGATGTAAAAATATTCAAATTATATTTGAATTTTAGGTTGATTATAGGTTTTAGTGAAGTCTGTTCAAATAACAGGAGTCAGTGTGGCTTTTGCAGCAGCATTGTAGGCTTAAATCATATAATAACTATGGCTCTCTAAACCTGAAAAATTACACTTCTCAATATTCTGACCCAGGAACCTTATGCATATTTCCACATCTAGGTCCACTTCACAATGCTCATTTGTCCAGGTACCTCTGGACTGTCATTATGTCTACAAAGAGAAAGTGCTGGGTCTTATCACAACCCAGATGCCTGCAAAGTGCCTGCTGATGTTGTGTTCTAGCCCACCATTTCCCACACTAGCTATAACTGAAATACAACATAAGAATTTCTTTTAACTATAGGTAATCCTCAGCTTATGACCACAATTGAGCCCATAATTTCTGTTGCTAAGTGAGACATTTGTTCAGTGTGTTTTGCCCCATTTTATGACCTTTCTTGCCACAATTAAGCGAATCACTGCAGTTGTTAAATTAGTAACACAGTTGTTAAGTGAATCTTTATCATTGACTTTGCTTATCAGAGGGTTACAAAAGGTGATCACAAGATCCCAGGACACTGCAACCAGTTGCCAAGCATCAAAATTTTGATCAGGTAACCATGAGGATATTGCAATGGTCGTGTGAAAAACGGTCATGTCACTTTTTACTGTTGTAAGTCAAGGATTACCTGTATTAATAGGCTGCTTCTTCACATCTGTCTCCTATAGCCTTTTTCTAATGTTGGAATCAAATGCTACCATCACCACTCCTCATGTCATGGCAGCCTTGGAAAGTAAATTCTGTTGCTGTTGCCGCTAGTTAAACTCTGGGAAGTATCTTGGAACATCATGCCTCTTCTCATTCAGCTCAACCATTTTGAGGGCAGCAGGCCAGGAGGCAAAGCAGACTGTTACCTAATTTAGGTAAGCACCCTAATTTCTACTCAGTTTCAGAGGACTTTTTAGGTTCAAAACTGTACATTACACAGTTCAAAAGCTTGAGATGTAGCCCATTTCTGAAAATGTACACAAAGATTCTGAATGTCCTACAAAATACTAATAGTGCCATAATTTTGGTGTCTGTTGAATTTGGAGTAAAAAATGTCCTACAATCCATAATTTAGGGAGATTCCTAACTCAGCTCCAACACTTTTCTAAATCTGTAATTACCGTTAGAGTCTTGTCATTGTCCTGTTGTGCTTTCCAAAGCCAATGAGTGATTGACAATTCACAGCACACTTTCAACAGTGTGTGTAACTGCACTATTCTGACTGAGGAAAAACAAAGTGAATGAAGTATGTTGTGTATAATATGGACCAAGGAATAAGCCATGAACATTAAAACTATTAACCAAGTCGAACACTATACATCTTTTGGAGAAATTGAAATAAGCAAACAAATCCTGAGAAAAGTAGCAGCTCCAAAACCCTTTTTCTATTGTCCTATAGCAAACTCATTTTACAGCAAGGTGGGAAGCCTGAAGTTCCTTAGCACAATAAAGATGATTTTTTAATCTTTTTAAATGATTTAAATGTGTATTTGAAACAAATTCCAATCTTTAATGGCCTTTCAAAAGCTGAAAAAAGTAAATAGCAAAGAATTATTAATGGCACATATTTCCACAGTAGTTAAGGATGTCTTCAAGTGTGAAGAGGTACTATTACTATCTGTACTATACATTCTTGCCCTAGCATGTGCACATGGGTTAAGGAAAAACTCCAAATTCCAGTTTTTTTATACCATGGCCCAGAAGTAAATAAACTTGTCAGTAAGGACCTGAGGATTTAGAGGAGAAAAGCAGTTTAGTCCAATATCTGAAAATATATATCGAGGCACTATAGTCGACCTTACTGTCAGTTCCATGATGGAAGATCACAACTGAACACAACACAGGATTTGGAATAGGACCTGAGGAATTTAATACTTACCCTTGTAAAATACTTGTTAGGGCCTACATATGCATCAAATAACATTTGTGTCCAAACATGGGCTGAATGTACTCAAAGTGCAGCAAGACTATACAATGGCCCTTTGGCAAAGAAGAATATTTGGAGGGCTCTGGTGACTCTTTGAGCTTTTTTTTTTTTTTTAAATTTTTTATTTATAATACAATTAAAACAAAAATGGACATACGTGACATTCCAGAGTAAATATTCCTAACAGTTTGTTTCTCGTGATACAAAAACTTAATACATCATCCTTAACCTCTATATACACCTCATTCTTCTACATAATACAATTATATATACAATTATATGTACAATTATGTGTATGTTTCAATCCTATA